GAGAAGTGAGGTGACCAGGTCGGGATCTTGGCCTGATGCCCCATGAATCCGTGAAGGCATGTCTGTCAGTACACTACCCGCTGCTCTGCTCCTCCGGGCTGGCCAGATCCCTGTCTGTGTGACTACAGCACCCGGTACCCACAGACCTTCTCATGGCCCTCGTCACACGCCGTGAGGGCAGAGGCATGTCTGCACACGGGAGGGGCCCGGACGCGTTTCATGAGCATGTGCACAAGCAGGAGGCGCACTGATGGCAGCAGAGTGCATTGTGGCCCGTCCTGCCTCCTTCCTCGCTCACGGGGGCCTGGGCCTGCCCGCTCAGACAGAGCTGAGTGGGGCTCACACGGGGCTGGGGCTAAGCAGAGGCCAGGCACCTGTGCTGCTGTCCTGGTCGTCGTGGGCCGGGCCCTGGAGACAGCAGCCCCTCCGCCTGTCACCTGGTGACCGAGCTATAACGGTGCCCGCGCTGCCCCAGGCTGCCCCACGCCTAGGCCCCTCCCCGTCCCTGCCCGCTCATGGGGAGAGTTCACCTCCTGCAGGGGTACCTGCCAGTCGGAGCTGCAAGTGAGCGAGGGCTTCAGCAGGAAGCCCCGGGGTGGGAGGCAAGGGGCGCCTGTCTCCAAGCTGGCTCACCCCGGGAAGTTGGGGGGCCTGTCTCCAAGCCAGCTCACCCCAGGAAGCTGGGGGCCCTGTCTCCAAGCCAGCTCACACTGGGAAGTTGGGGGCTCTGTCTCCAAGCCGGCTCACCCCAGGCTGGCCTCGCCCCCCTCTGCCCTCTGGGGCGGCGGCTGGATGGTTCAAGCTGCCAGAACCCGCACTGTCCTGTCGTCGGGTAACTTAATAAGCATCAGGTGCTGCCCTTTGGCAGTATGGCACAGAACTGGCGCTTTGGAAGGACTTCTGAGTCCACTCGAACAGAAGAAAAGAAAAGAAAGCTGTTCCTGATTCCTAAAGGCGTGCGTTCAAAGTCGGGCAACAAACCAAGACAGAATTCTTGTTCCTTTTTTTCAAGTTGTTTTTTGCTTTACCGAGACTACAAGGTCTTAATCAGGGTGGTTTCCTCAATGGGAAAATAGATCTAAGGCTGAGCAGTGCCCTCACTCGCACCCCCAGATTTGGGAGTCTTTTTGGCAGAGCTGCCCCAGTGCTATAGAAGGCAAGGCTGTGGGCCACCTCTCCGGCATGCTGGGCCTGGCCTGCTCCCACCCTCTTAGGGGGAAGCTGTTCTGGGGAAATTGCCCCCCCGGGCCGGGCCAGGCCAGGCCGGGGCCTGGTCGCTGCTTTCTCCAGCCCGGGTCTGCTGTGTTGAAGGCTGGCGGATGCCAGCAGCCGTCCCCCAGAGCTGCACAGGAGCTGTGCTGGGGCCCGCGGACATCCTCCCCCTGGCCGCGGCTCCCCGGGTGCCACTCCTGGGCCGGCAGCCCGGCCTCCTGGACCGAGTTCTCCAGATGAGTCCACCGGGCATTGGGGCTCAAGAGACCTGACCCCCTGGGCTGCAGCCCTCATGAAGGAAGGGGACAGGCTCCTGAGTGGGAGGATGAAGGAAGGGGACAGGCTCCTGAGTGGAAGGAGGCAGGCGGCCACAAGTCTTGCCATGCAGGCCTGGCCTAGCGCCTCTTCGTCTGCTCTCAGCTCCGTTCCCCAAGAATAAGGGGTAACCCAAGCTGCCCGAGATCTCAGGTGTGGCCCTGCAGCCGCCCTGCTGTGGGCAGAGGCATCAGCTGGCCTGGGTGGTGCCTGCAGACCTCGGCCTCGGACCTCCTGCGTCCCCTTCCCCGCCAGCCCGGATGCCGCCCTCGGAGGCTCGTGCCGCTCCCTCCTGGCCGGGACTACAGAGGGCCCAACCCAGGGATTCCTTCCCTGCTCGCGGAACTGGAAGACTGAGCCCGTTGACATCTGGGGCCCGGTCAGCTGACCAGGGGCCTAGCCAGACTCTAGACTGAGTTTCTCAGAGGCAGGTGGATAGAGAATGGAGGATTTTTCCAGCCGTCCCTTGGCAGGAGCTCTCCAGAACCATCCATCTTCCATTTCCTGCCCAGCTCTGCGGCCACCGGGTGCCTCGCCTGGGACTCCGGGTCCAGGGGTCTGGGTGGGAGGAGAGGATAGGCCTGCAGGCCTGGGGGCTTAACCTTGCAGAGCTCTGGGCCTCCCGTGGTCCCGAGGTGGTGAAGGGGCAGGCAGGAGCATTTCCAGGAGACAGAAGGGTGCGTCCTGCAGCGAGGGGTTTTCCAGAGCTGATCTGTGGACATGCTGTGGGGACAGAGAGTGCCTGGATGCACCAGTAAATGAGGGCTGGAAACAGCTGCTGTCCAGGAGACTGTCCTTGGCCCGCTGGAGGGCAGGGGCTGACAGCCTATTGCAGCCCATCTAGACAGTGACTCCCCTCCCGTGCTGAAACGTGCCCTTTGCTGCTGTCCGGCCGCCTCCCAGAAGGAAGGCCTTCCTCACTTCACTCCCCAAGCCTTGGAGGGTGTGACACCGCATGCTCCTCCCCCCCGGGCGCCTTCCTCCTGGAGCTGCTTTGTCAGATGCTTTCTTCCCCAGTTGCCGCTGACCTTTTCTCTCCATCGGTGGCCAGCCGGCTCAGGGACCAGCTGATGCGCCTTCCCCCTGCCCCCCCCCAGCCCGTTGCCATGGTAACCACAGGCCCTCCTGCTCATGCAGAATATTGCTTTCTTGTAACCTTCTTCCCTCCCTCTCCTTCCCCCGTTTCTTTCTCTCACACAAAAAGAAAGCACAAGTGTTTTATATTCATTCTGCAAAAAGCTGTGGAGCGCATACTAATTGGCGTGGCTTCCTCCCACTCTCTGTGAGCCTTTCCCATCCTCAGGGCCAGGACCATGGGCCAGCATCGGCATGGGCCCAGCCAGCCTGCGCGCTGCCATGGGACTGGCTCTGCGTGTCCTGCAGCCGCGTGGGGCATTTCTCACCTTGTGTCCAAGCCCTGAGTGTGACTGAGGCCGCTGAGACCACCGTGTCCTTGTCGCCAGACGTCCTGCCCTCAAGCCGAGGGCCGTGAGGTCTTCAGGGATGAGGGGCGCTAACAGCCTTGCTGGCACAGAGACCAGAGCCAGGTCCAGTGGACGGCGGCTCCTTGTGGTCCCCACTGCTGTCCCCCAGGCCCCCCCCCCCCACTGCCCAGGCAGAGACAGAGTCCAGGCCTAGGCCTGCGTCCGGATGGTGGTCACCCATAGCCACGTTCAGCTTGGACTGAGTGGTTTTGCTGGTCTGCTGGGGGAGAGCCAGTGGCTGGACTTAATGGGCTGGACTGAGAACCCCGAAGTGGCTGCCCACCAACCCCCCACTCTCCTCTTCACAGCATTCCTTGACCTCCGTTTTGGCGGCCCCTCTCCAGTCCTTTGCTCTGAAGCCTGAAGGGGACAGTGTTGCTGTCCTCCAGCCCCCACTTAAGGGGGCTTCCACTAGTGTGTGTGCACACAAGGACACATGGTTTTGCTCCAAGCCCACCTGTCTGTTGGCTTTAGCCCCCAGGGGACCAGAAACAAATCTGATACGTAAGCACGAGAGGGGTGGCCAGGATAACTGAAGGAACCTGTAGACAACATTTCCGGCTGTAATTGTACAGTAGAAGTGTGTGGTCTGCATTCATTTGCGGGTTGGTGTTAAACTTTCTAAAATGAGAGAATTTGGAAGACGAAGTGCAGATTTGCTGGCCGTTGCGTCCTGTGGGGAGGCGGCGGCATGTGGGGATGGGTGACACAGATCCTGCTGATGCAGAGGTGAAGCTGGAGGCCTGGGTGTGTGTGCTGCTGTCCCTGCCCTATCCCCGTGCAGGGCCGCTGGCAGGCCAGGCCCCAGATTCTCACGCAGAAGTTGTGCAGGAAGCGTCTCCTGTGATCGGCACAGCGCCCTGGTGAGGGCGCGTCCCTGTGGGCACACAGGAGGAAACAGCCTCCCAGTCCCCTGCAAAGCCACGTTCAGACCGCGCCCTGTGTCCAGGTGATGGTCCTTGATGACCAGCCCCTGCCTGGTTTCTACCCCCACCCCCACCCCGCTCCGGGGCTGGGCTGCAGCTCGGGTTCTGGGAATGTGCCTCTGGGTCTGGTCCTGTGTCCATGAAAAGCTTCTACTAGTTACGAGACTGCTCTGCGTGCCTCCCTCTACCCCCAGTTCCCTGGCAGACCTGAGCTCAGCACTTCAAGGCCCGGCAGTCCCCCTCAGGGCAAGCTGCCGGCCCCGGGAGCACAGGCGCTGCACCAGGGCAGCCTGTGGCCTTGCCTCTCTTCCCGCCAGTGTGGGCCTGGCCCCCAGCGGGCACCGCTCAGTAGAAGCTGGTGGGGGCAGGTATGGTGGAGTTCACTGGTCCAGAGTCAGGCAGCTGGTGTCAGGGTTGAGACTGAAGCCAGGACTGTGAGCACAGAGCCCCATTTGTGGACTCAAGCTGAGTCTGATGTGGACCCCAGGTTCCTTGAACAGGTGCCTGTAGGCGAGACTAAGGACAGTCAAGGGCTCACCTCCGACTCGGAGCCGGGACAGCTGCCCCCTGTGGCCTCCCCCCCTCACAGGGCCACTCAGGGTGCGGGCATCTCACGGGCCAGGACTCTCAGGCATGCTGGGTCTCCCCAAGCGTATTTTCCGATAGGGAAATAACCCGCTGGACCTGGTGTGGGTTGTGTGACCCTTATGGGATCAGCATCTGGCTGAGCTGGTTGAGCTGCGCTGGCTGAGGCCTGACCAACCGGGGGCCCCCCGCTGCACAGGCTGGGCCCTGGGCCTGAGACCCTCCTCTCCTGGGGACCAGAGAGCAGTGATCACTGGAAGAGCTGACCCCGCCTTCTCCCCCCACTTCCTGCCGTCCACTGTCTGCCTGTGTTCTCCTGAGTCTGTATCCTTTGCAGCAGTCTCTGAGCACTCAGAGCTGTGAGCCGGGCAGCCCTCAGTGGCCTGTCGCCCTCCTGGTGCCCTGGAGGCGGCTATCCGTCCGCAACCGCAGCGCAGGGTGGGGGTCCTTGTTCATCATCCTCCTCTTCTCTCCCCAGGTTATCCTAAAGGATCTGGAGGTGCTGGCAGAAATTGCTTCTTCCCCCGCAGGCCAGGCGGATGACCCAGGCACCCTCGATGGCCCTGACCTCCGGGTCAGCCACTCGGAGCTCCAGGCACCCACCCCCGGCAGAGCCGGCCTGCTGAACACGCCCGGTGAGTCTTCCCTTCCCAGATGGCTGCGGCCTCGGGGCCCCTGGGCATGGCGCTGCTCAGTCTTGCCCTGGACCAGCTGGCACCTGGGCCACCCTCCTGAGCCCGGGGGCTCCCCAGGGCCAAGGCCGGCGATGTGCCGCTCTGCAGGCAGCAGGCAGCCTGACCCTCCTGCCTCCCACTCCAGCAGCCTCCACCCTCTCAGGAGACCCTCACAGCCCTTTCCCTCATCTCCCTGCAACTCTCGGCCCTTTGAGCCATTGGCTGAACGTGAAACCATCCAAGTCAGCTGATGGTCTCTTCCCCTGGGACGCCATCACCTGGTCAGGAATCAGGGACCCCAGAGCTTGGGTGTCATGGGTGGAAGATGAGGCAGCTGTTCCTTCCTTGTTGAGAAGCTAAAACTAACACAGCAGGTGGCCCAGACCGGAGAGTGGATAACTCAGTCTGAGAGGAAGGGGGCCAGCAGCTGAGAGGAGGTCTCCTGTGGGTGGGGGCGTCCCCCAGAGCTCCCTGCATCCTCGGGAGAGGCTGCGGGAGCACAACCCCGGGCAGGGGACACGTGTCCTCTCCACGGGGCTGTCTGATCCGTCCCTCCTCTGTAAGGGAGGGAGAAGGGCATGGGAAAACGGGTGGCTGTGAGACGCTTCCTGGCTAGTGGAGGGGTGGGCTGGAAAGCAGCTGTGCACAGCCCGTCCTGGAGGGGGCAGGGTGGGAGCCCTGGCTGCAGGGCCGGGCCCCGGGAGTTCAGGTAGCACGCCCTCCACTGCTTGGAGCAGGAGCTAGAGGGACTTGGGTGGCAAAGAGCTCTGCACCCCAGCTTCTGGCCGTGTCAAGACGCCTGGGCCCCCGGAGAGGCTAAGGTGATGAAGGCTTGCCCCAGCTCCCAAGGCTGTCAGACTGGCTTGCATCAGCCAGAGCCTCGCCCTGAATTCATAGAAAACAGCTAAGTGTGCCAGACGGGAAGAAATTCCGTCCTGGAACGAGCACCACGGAAGTGCCTGCAGCCAGTGAGATTCCCCGCTGTGAGGGTTTCACGGCGCCGGGCGCCCTGTCGGGGTGGCACCCACCCAGCGCGGTCCCTTGCTGGCACCAGGTCTGTGAGGCGGGCTGTGGTTCTCCGAGGTCAAGCTCACAGCAGTAACCGGAAGTAAGAGCTGTGCCCTGTTGCTGTCTGCCTCGGCCGCCTTGGGGAGGGCAGGAGCTGGGCGCTGAGGGTGCTGGCATGGGGCACAGGTCAGAGGGCACCCAGAAGCACACACACATTCCGTCCTTTCTCCCACGGCGTCTCTGCACGCAGGGGGTCCTTCTGTGCGTTTCCGGCTGGCCACATGCGGAGGCTGCGAGGCAGACTGTCTTCCGGTTCGGATCTGCCTTCCCCTGGCTCGCCAGGGCACAGCTCTGAGAACTTGCAGGTGCAGGGCTGTGCCTTTTTAAGACAGATCACCCGCCCTGCCCCCCTACCAAGGGCCTTGGGAAGACTGAGGAGGCGGGAGCCTAGCAAAGATGGGCCCAGTGGCATAGTGCCTGCACGTCGCGCCTGTAAACTCAGACCGTGCAGACAGTGCGGCGGTGGCCGTCACCTGCCTGGACGCTGCTGTGCTGGCCTCAACATCAGCGCAGCAGTGCCCACCGGGGACCTGCTCTCGCCTGGCCTGGCAGGGACACCCCTGCCTGCAGTGCAGCGCGGTGTGGGCGCAGGCAGTGGTCTCCCTTCTGCCCGACCCTCTTCACTCCTGGCCCCAACAGAGCCTCGGGCTGGGGAGGGGGCCGCCGTTGGGCCAGTCAGGAGGACCGTGAGCTGCCTGGGTGGGTGGCCCCAAGGGAAGCCAGTGGAGGGCTCCATCTCCCTAACTTGGGCTTCCGTGAAATGACATGAAAGCGCCCAGTTCGGTCACCTGTGACTTGGCGGTGTCTGTGCCTCCTCTGCCTGGCTCCACACGACTGGGGCCCTGCCAGACTCCGAGGAGGAGGGCCTGCAGGGAGGAGGGCTCTGGGTCAAGGCCCTGCTACCGGAGTGGGGGAAGCTGGGCCCCGCACAGCTGCGTCGTGACCTGTGACCAAGTCTCCTGGGACAGATGTTTGCCCCCAGACCCAGCCTTCCCAACCTTCCCTTCCGGCCCGTTCTTTGGGTGAAACTGCTCAAGTCATTGCGCCCTGCAAGGCTGTCTGCTCCCCGCTCCAAACACGTGGGCAAAGACAAGCGTGCTGATTCAGTTTCATTGCTTATAGCCCAGCCTGGTGTGACCAAATGCAAAGATAAACTCTAAAGGAAACCCAGAAAGCCATCCCTGGTGGTTCCCCGAGGACAGCAGTGACTCTAATGTGATGAGCTCTTGTTCCGGATGAGGCTCTGTTTTCAGCACTTTCCTCATGTCAGGTCACTGGAACCTCCCCGTGGGTCAGCCCCTTCTCTGAGCACAGGCTCGCGGTGGTGCTGGCCCCGGAGCCTGCTTCGTTCACCTTCCCGTGGCCCCCCTCCCCGCACCAGCCGTGGGTGCTCCCAGGCCCTGCCGGGCTCCTTCACTTCTCTCTTGCTCTGAAGCGGGCAGCTGGACAGCCTCCTGGAGCTGGGGGACTGCCCGGGGCAGAGGTCTCGCTGGCCTTTCCACAGAGACCAAAGTGACTGCCTGCTGGATCGGTCCTCGCCGCCGTGGGGGCTGGGCCCTCTGACGTGGGGGCTCCCCGCCCCCTGAGACCCCCGTCCCAGCCTCTTCCCTCTGAGCACAGGCCCTCGGTTCCACCAGCCTCCCCGTCCCAGCCCCGCCCTCAGGGCACTTCGCTGTGGGCTGGGCCTTGTGCTTCTCAATTCCTCGAGCCTGTTAGACTCCCAAAGGGACCAGCCCAGAGGTGTCGCCCCCGGGTGGCTGGCCGGACCTGTCCTGGGTGTCTGCGGGCCCTTCCCTGCCTCCTGGGCGGGGCGGTGACGCTCTCGCATCTGGTTTTGTTGAACTGTAGCGGGTGGTGTATTGAGGCCAGAGCTATTTTTATCCTGACATGTGAGGCTCTCGCACGTCACAGCCACAGAGCTCTATCCAAAACATCCTGGGGAGGCTGTTTGTCGGTGCTCTGCAGAGTCTCCTGTCGCCACATCAGGTTTCACTTAGGAACATCTGCAGTGCTGGCTTGCCAGCCGCCTGCCCCCAGCCCGGCCCTGCACACCCGGTGCTCCCGGCGGCATCTGCCTGCCCTGGGCCAGCGGCGCTCACGTGAGCCTCCTGCCTGAGCCCCATCTCTGCAGCAGGCAGGAGGGGGGTGGAGTCCTGCTCTCCTCGCCCTTCGGGTGCTCCTCCTGAGACCAGGCTGCTCCCAGCCCTCCCCTGGCCTCTGACCAGACCGGCTCCCCCCATCCCTCCCGGTGCAGGCCTCCCAGCCTGTCCTCCCAGGAGACCCGCGAGCACGTGGTGGGGGCAGTGCGGGCCCTGACCGCCCCATCCTGGGGCCACAGCCCCTCGCCCTGGCCTGTCCTCCCGGCAGACCCTCGAGCACGTGAGGGGGGCGGTGCAGGCCCTGACTGCCCTGTCCGGGGGCCACAGCCCCTCGCCCTCAGGCTCTTCTCAGCTGCTGGAGAAAGGAGGCCGATACAGTCGCATGCGGAAGGGCAAGAGGCGGGCGCCCCATGGGGAGGAGCAGGCTGTGGTTGGGCAGAGATGAGTGTTCAGCTGAAAGAGGCCTGGCACTCCCCGTGGGAGCACTCCTGGAGAGTTCCTTCTCTCTCCACCCCGTCTCCCCTCCTGGGCCTGCAGCCCTGCCCAGAACCCTCTCTCCGGTCCCACCTCGAGCCAGCTGGTCAGTCAGAGCGGTGACTGGTGGGCCAAGGGAAGGAGGCCGAGAGGGAGCGAGGCGGTTGGGAGAGGCGGCTGCCCTTACCCAGCCAGCCCAGCCTGCCCAGCCCATGTGGCCCTCCCCAGGGCTCCCCTCCCGCTCCTGCAGGGCCTCCCCTCCTGGGGCAGCAGCCTTGACTGGAGTCCGCGCTGGCAGGGAGCCTGAAGGGCCACAGGCCGCGGGCAGCCCCGCAGCCTCTCCCGTCAGCCTCAGAAGGCACGCGGTGCCCACTTAGACTGCACCCAGCCTCCTGCTCTTTGAAGTGAGTGGCGGAAGCGTCCATGGTAGGCACCGCGCTGTGAGGCCAGGACCCTCTTGACACGGCTTTTCCCACGTGTCTCTGCCCCCCTCCCTCCCTCCTAAGGGCCTCCTCAGCTCCAGGGGCCACCATGTGGGCCTGGATCTCGAGAGTTGACCGTGGGCCCCAGCGGCGGCCGTGGCTCAGGAGGTGGGACCCATTCGCCTCACGCAGCGCTCTGGGTCAGGGCAGGTTTGCCGGTAGTAACAGCCCCTCTTGTTCGAGCTCAGACTATGTAGGAGGACCCAGGCCTGGCACATTACATCTGTCTCATTCAATGTGGGCTCTCATTGCCCCCATCTTACAGATGAGAAAACTGAGGCTTAGAGGGGCTAAGAGATTTGTCCAGAGTTGCCCAGCTACTCAGGCTTGAGTGAAGATCTGATCTCAGGTGTGATGGACTCCCAAGCCAATCTCTAAACACCATGTTTGGGACTTCCCTCGTGGTCCGGTGGTTAAGAATCTACCATCCAGTATAGGGGACAGAGGTTGGGGACTGAAGATCCCGCATGCCACATGGTGCAGCCAGAAAACCCCACTGCCTCTGTAAGAGCCGAACCACCCAGGACCTCTCCCCAGAGCCTGCTCAAGGCACGCGGTCCCCAGGACCTGGAGACTGTGGCCCCGGGAGGGGAGGATTTCTTTATGGTCAGTCACTGGTTAGATCTCTTTGTCCTTTGGAATACCGTGGAACCTAAGCCTGGTAATGGGCGGGACAGGGACATAAGGAGCCGTGGTCATTGAGCACCCAGAGGGCTGCAGGGAGCTGGACCCCAGGCCACACGTACCTCCACGGGTGGGGGGAGCCTCTGCCCTCCAGCCAGGCCTTCACAGGGGCAGCAGAATTCATGTCCTCAAGTGTGGGGACAGGGACAGCTGTATCCACAGCCATCTCTTCAGAGTCAGCCCCAGCTGGGCCTGGAGTAACTCGATCTGTAAGAATGTGACACTCGATTCTGCAAACAGCTCCTCCGGGGCCGGGAGCAGACTGTTTGCCATTCCAGAGACCCTCAGGACAGCCCTGGGCCAGGCTCTTCCGGACAGGGACCCAGAACAACACACAGCAGACAAGAAGTGCGTGAGGCCTGTCCTTGAACTGGCTTCTCACACAGGACTCGCCCCAGGCACGATTCACAGGAGCTGTCCAGGAGGTTCTGGAGAGATAACAGTAGTTTGAAGGTGTGGCTCCTGGCGAGGCATCCTCACAGACCAGTTCAGAAAAACTGGTCTGTTTTTTCCCAGGAGAAAAAAAATCAGGAAACACCTTTTCCACTTCCCAGCCATTTCCCTGTAAGGACCTCGCAAGGATGTAAGGAAGTCTGAGTTCAGCACAACGATAGACCTTCTGGGAGAAGGTCTCACTGCTGCCTCCTTGACCCCGGCATCTGATGAAGTCAGCCTGCCAGGGCTCCTCTGAAAGGCTTGCTTATGCTCTGGACGATGCTTCCACACACTTGTGCTTTGGGTTGACGCTTCTGGGAGCTGATATCCCCTCTCACAGTCAAGCTTGATTCCCAGAGACCCCACTCCCTGCCTGTTTCACTGAATCGTACATTTTAAAAGGGTTAACTTGATAGTATATGAGTTGTATCGCAATTAAACTGTTACCAAAAAAGATCAGATGCCCTATTCATGCGTCAGGCAGATGTACTTGAGGATTCCTGTCATCACCACCACTTCTTTACAATGCTGTTGAGATCAGCATGTGCTAGAAAGCAAGGACGGGGCGACCCCAGGGGTGTATGAACACATGACATCGGGATCGGCTTCGAACTGTGTCAACCCCACCCCAGTCCCCTCTGCACCTGATGCCTTACACTGGGCCGTGTTCGAGGCTGGGGTGGGGTGGGGGAGAGGGTGCTGTTTCTGGCCTTCCATGTATTTTCAGCTGGGATACATAAGGGGGTGGAGGAGGAAATGGCAACCCACTCCAGTATTCTTGCCTGCAGAATCCCATGGACAGAGGAGCCCGGCGGGCTACAGTCCATGGGGTCACAAAGAATTGGACACAGCTGAGTGACCAAGCGCATAAGGGGGGAGACCTGGAGTGTGCTTCTGGTTGTAAAGCCAGCTCAAGGTCTTCAGGGTGCTACTCTGACAGAGCATCTTTGCCTGAAGATGAAGAATGTCTGATTTCAGAACACTGGGTGCAGGTGACAATGCCTGGTCACGTTTTGCCAGGGTGTGCCATCTTTGACTTCTCCTTGAGCAGGGTGGGAAAGGATTGTGGCCTCTGCCTCTGGGGGTCTGTGGGCTTTATGGACAGCTGGGGCTGTGTCCCTCTTTCTTCTCTATGACTTGCCGTCTGTTCTTAACCCTCCAAAGCCTGGGTGTATTTTATATATTGGGATGATGAGTTAAAGATGTGTTGTGTTTTTCCAAAAACCACCTAGCGCCTAGTCTCATACAGGGAGTGTTCAGTAAGTGATGGAGGGGTGACCAGCGGAATGGGTGCGTTCGTAGCGAGCAGGGTCGTATCAGCTTGCACACACATGTTTGGTCCTTGCGTTTTTGCTGCCAGCGTGGCCCTTGATTGACGGTGTTCCCTCATCTGGTTGCACAGGGACTTTCCCCACCTTTTTGGCATCAATAACTATTTCCTTTCTCTGGACATGCAGAATAAACCCCGTTCTATCCCTTCCTCTGTAGGTACCAAAGGCGTGGAGTGTTCTCCTTCCACCCCGACCATGAACTCCTACTTTTACAAGTTCATGATCAACCTTCTCAAGAGGTTCAGCAGTGAGCGGAAGCTCCTGGAGGTCAGAGGCGCCTTCATCATCAGGTCAGTTCTGGGAGCTTCCCTTCTCCCATGGCCTCGGATTTTCATCCTCACGTCTTGCAATGGGTCAAGGCAACCATGGTCTCTCCTGCTTCTCCAATGTGTGATGGTTGCAGAAAGAGGGAGAAGCCGGGAGAGGAGGCTGAGAAGAAGGGCCTGGGAGGCAGAAAAAAGCTGAGGAGAGGGGAATGCAGGAAGCAGTGAGGGGGCAGGCGGCGGGGAGGAGCCTGCTGAGTGCGGCTGGGAGTGGGGGAGAGTGGCAGGCAAGGAAGTGCGGGAGCAAGCCCAGGGTCCCCAGCCCCAGAGGGAGAGTGGCGTTGAGGCCACCCTGGGGGTGGTCAAAGGATTGATTCTCAGGAGGGGACAGAAGGGCAAAGAACAGGACGGCACAGTCCCTGCCGGTTGGGAAGGACCACCCAGGGCTTCCTGGTGGTGGTGGTGGGTGTCGCTGCCCCCTGCTTTCCTGAGCTTGAGGAGGGCAGGGCTTCTCCGCTTCGGCACATTGGCGTCTGGGGCTGGTTAATTCTCGGTGGCAGGGGTGTTCTGTGCTCTCTAGGGTATTGAGTAGCGTCCCCTGCCCCGACCCACTAGGGGCTAGGAGCACCGTCACTGCCCCAGTGGGGACAGTCAGAAGTGTGTCCCCAGACAGCGCCAAAGGCCCCCAGGGGGTAGAGTGATCCCAGGCGGCAGTCACGGTTACAGAGGGCAGAAGTGGATTCTGAACCTTACTGGCCAAAAGCGGAAGGTTTCCACCTTTGTTTTCTCACAGTGAGTTGGGGACTGAAGGGACCCCCCACCAGGAAAATGACAGACTCTCCCCACACAAGTGACAGCTAGCTTCATGCGGCTTTCCAAATTGCAGAGGTGTTGGCTCTCTCCTCCTTGCCTGGAAGACTTTCAGGAAACCAGTGGGGAGAGAAGCCTTTGGGAAGGGAGTTTGTAGCTAGTTTCCTCTCTGGAGAGCCCGCTGCAGTGGGTTTTTCCAGCCTCCATCAGCCTGGCACGCCCCATTGGGGCCTGGGGAGAGAGTGCTGGGGGGTCGCCAACCCCCCAGACAGCACAGGGTGGAAGTGGGGGCCGCGTGTTCATGTGCGCATGTGTAGGGGTGTTCCCTCTCCCATCAGGGCTGAGGCTTCGCGGAACTGGTGGTCCTGCCTGTCCCCATGGTCCTGTTCAGAGCCTCCAGGGTGGCGAGGCTTCGCTTGCTCTGCAGGGTCTCCCAGGCATCCTGGACTGGTGGGAATCCTCATTTCTGCAGGAGGGAAATGAGAGAAGGCCACGTGCCTGGCTGGCTTGGTTGGAGCTGGGCTGCAGACCCCTGCACTCCGCTGATTTTGTAGCTGCTCCCCTGTCCCATCTGTGCGAGATGGCCGAGCTGGGTCCCTGAGGGGCCTGCCCACCCCACATGCCAGGACCTCCCGCCACCCCGCCCCCCAGAGGGTCCTCGCCCCTCAGCCTTCTAGGGCTGAGTCCATCCAGCACGGCAGTTACTCGCTGCCCTGGGGCTCAGGTCCCTCGAGGGCCACACTGGGGCCTCCGTGGGCACCGCGCCTGCCCCCAGGGCACAGCTCACTCCAGCCTGCTTGGCCAGCATGCTCTCCCAGCCCCAGGTGGAGAACGCCGCGGGCAGGACGGGAGGCGCTGTCACTGGGCCCCTCACGTATGTTGTCCCACCTGCCATCCTGCCCGACCCCCGAAGTAGCAGCAGCCCTTGTCACGTGCAGGTACCGCTTCCCCAGGGCCGCGCTGGCCCTGGGAGGCTGACCAGCGTGCCAGGCCCCCTGACGTGGAGGAGGGCCTGAAGCCATGTGCCCGCCTGCTCCTCATGGTCAGACGGGGTCGAGGTCCTTCAGCAGAGCTTCGCTGGGGCCCGCACCTGGGAGGGTCAGCCTGCCCACCTGCCTCCCATCTCGTTTCCTTACTTTCTGCTGGCGGTTTTAAAGAAGCTAACACTAGTGATGCATGCCGACCGCTGAGGTGAAGCCACAGGTCTGACAAGAGACCGTGGATGTTTCTTAACCCCCTCTTTGTGGTGTTCAGCCAACTATAAGTTGCTCCCCTCAACCCCCAGGATTGAGCACAGAAAGGAGAGAGACTTCTGGCAGATAAGTGGCTAGCCGTGGTTCCTTCAGTGCTGCATTTAGCTCAGTCCAGGGACGGTGACTGGAAGGACAGGCGTCCGGAGTTCTTGAAGACAGACATCTGGCTGGGGGTCTCAGCCTTGAGGAAGAGGCAGGACCCTCCGCAGGCCTGGAGCAGTTCCCCGCCCGCCTGGCCTTCCCAGGCTGCCCCTCTGTGGGGGCGGGAACGGAGCCCCTGCGGGGGTCAGACATCCGCTCAGTGTCCACGAGGCCTTGTTATCTGGTGGACATAACTGTGTAGAGGCATGTTGGGTTTGGGGAGGCCAGGGATTCTAAAACCTGATCTCAGCAGGGCTTGCTGTGCCCCACCCGGGGCCCAGGCCCTTCTTCCAGCTGCAGGGACTCAGGGAGGCCGGGGGGGG